GGTCAATTTTGGAATAAGTGTGATGTGGTGCTGAGAAGAATGTATACTCTGTTGATTTGGGGTGGAGAGTTCTATAGATGTCTATTAGGTCTGCTTGCTGCAGAGATGAGTTCAATTCCTGGATATCCTTGTTAACTTTCTGTCTCGTTGATCTGTCTAATATTGACAGTGGGGTGTTGAAGTCTCCCATGATTATTGTATGGGAGTCTAAGTCTCTTTGTAAGTCTCTAAGGACTTGCTTTATGAATCTGGGTGCTCCTGTATTGGGTGCATATATATTTAGGATAGTTAGGTCTTCCTGTTGAATTGATCCCTTTACCATTATGTAATGGCCTTCTTTGTCTCTTTGATCTTTGATGGTTTAAAGTCTGTTTTATCAGAGACTGGTATTGCAACCCCTGCTTTTTTTGTTCTCCATTTGCTTGATAGATCTTCCTCCATCCCTTTATTTTGAGCCTATGTGTGTCTCTGCATGTGAGATGGGTCTCCTGAATACAGCAAACTGATGGGTCTTGACTCTTTATCCAGTTTGCCAGTCTGTGTCTTTTAATTGGAGCATTTAGTCCATTTACATTTAAGGTTAATATTGTTATGTGTGAACTTGATCCTGCCATTATGATATTAACTGGTTATTTTGCTCGTTAGTTGATGCAGTTTCTTCCTAGCCTCGATGGTCTTTATATTTTGGCATGTTTTTGCAATGGCTGGTACTGCTTGTTCCTTTCCATGTTTAGTGCTTTCTTCAGGGTCTCTTGTAAGGCAGGCCTGGTGGTGACAAAATCTCTCAGCATTTCCTTATCTGTAAAGGATTTTATTTCTCCTTCACTTATGAAACTTAGTTTGGCTGGATATGAAATTCTGGGTTTAAAATTTCTTTTCTTTAAGAATGTTGAATATTGGCCCCCACTCTCTTCTGGCTTGTAGAGTTTCTGCCGAGAGATCTGCTGTTAGTCTGATGGGCTTCCCTTTGTGGGTAACCCGACCTTTCTCTCTGGTTGCCTTTAAGATTTTTTCCTTCATTTCAACTTTGGTGAATCTGACAATTATGTGTCTTGGAGTTGCTCTTCTCGAGGAGTATCTTTGTGACGTTCTCTGTATTTCTTGAATTTGAATGTTGGTCTGCCCTACTAGGTTGGGGAAGTTCTCCTGGATGATATCCTGAAGAGTGTTTTCCAACTTGGTTCCATTTTCCCCCTCACTTTCATGCACCCCAATCAGACATAGATTTGATCTTTTTACATAATCGCAGACTTCTTGCAGGCTTTGTTCATTTCTTTTTCTTCTTTTTTCTTTAGATTTCTCTTCTCGCTTCATTTCATTCATTTGATCCTCAATCGCTGATACTCTTTCTTCCAGTTGATCGAGTCGGTTACCGAAGCTTGAGCATTTGTCATGTATTTCTCGTGTCATGGTTTTCATCTCTGTCAGTTTGTTTATGGCCTTCTCTGCATTAATTATTCCAGTTATCAATTCTTCCACTCTTTTTTCAAGACTTTTAGTTTCTTTGTGCTGGGTACGTAATTCCTCCTTTAGCTCTGAGAAGTTTGATGGACTGTAGCCTTCTTCTCTCATCTCATCAAAGTCATTCTCCGTCCAGCTTTGATCCGTTGCTGCGGATGAGCTGCGTTTCTTTGCAGGGGGAGATGTGCTCTTATTTTTTGAATTTCCAGCTTTTCTGCCCTGCTTTTTCCCCATCTTTGTGGTTTTATCTGCCTCTGGTCTTTGATGATGGTGACGTACTGATCGGGTTTTGGTGTGGGTGTCCTTTCTGTTTGTTAGTTTTCCTTCTAACAGTCAGGACCCTCAGCTGTAGATCTGTTGGAGATTGCTTGAGGTCCACTCCAGACCCTGTTTGCCTGGGTATCAGCAGCAGAGGCTGCAGAAGATAGAATATTGCTGAACAGCGAGTGTACCTATCTGATTCTTGCTTTGGAAGCTTCCTCTCAGGGGTGTATTCCACCATGTGAGGTGTGGGGTGTCGGTCTGCCCCTAGTGGGGGATGTCTCCCAGTTAGGCTACTCAGGGGTCAGGGACTCACTTGAGCAGGCAGTCTGTCTGTTCTCAGATCTCAACCTCCGTGTTGGGAGATCCATTGCTCTCTTCAAAGCTGTCAGACATAGTTGTTTGCATCTGCAGAGGTTTCTGCTGCTTTTGTTGTTGTTGTTGTTTAGCTGTGCCCTGTCCCCAGAGGTGGAGTCTCCAGAGACAAGCAGGCCTCCTTGAGCTGCTGTGAGCTCCACCCAGTTCGATCTTCCCAGTGGCTTTGTTTACCTACATCAGCCTCAGCAATGGCGGGCGCCCCTCCCCCAGCCTCACTGCTGCCTTGCCATTAGATCGCAGACTGCTGTGCTAGCAATGAGGGAGGGATATAATCTCCTGGTGCACCCGTTTGCTAAGACCCTTGGTAAAGCGCAGAATTGGGGTGGGGGTTACCTGATTTTCCAGGTGTTGTGTGTCTCAGTTCCCCTGGCTAGGAAAAGGGATTCCCTTCCCCCTTGTGATTCCCAGGAGAGGCGATGCCTCACCCTGCTTCAGCTCTTGCTGGTCGGGCTGCAGCAGCTGGCCAGCACTGATTGTCCGGCACTCCCTAATGAGATGAACCCAGTACCTCAGTTGAAAATGCAGAAATCACCTGTCTTCTGTGTCGTGTTGCTTGCGCTGGGAGCTGGAGACTGGAGCTGTTCCTATTCGGCCATCTTACTCCACTCCCTCTCTTCATTGCTTTTCTAGAAGTGCATTTCCAAAGGGAAAAAATGGCTATAAAATAATCATACACTCTGAAAAGTTTAGATAATTTTTTTAAAAAACTTTGTCTTAATTTTAATATAAATCAAAAATTTGAATTAATCTTTATTGGGGGAACCCACCCCCAATATTTCAACGTAGGTTCTTTCTATTTTCCATAAATGTCTCCGGCTGAGAAATAAAGAGAGACAGTATAAAGAGATGAATTTTACAGCTGGGCCACCAGGGGTGACATCACATATCGGTAGGACTGTGATGCCCACCTGAGCCTCAAACCAGCAAGTTTTTTATTAAGGGTTTCAAAAGGGGAAGAGGTGTAAGAACAGGGAGTACATATAAAGAGCACATGCTCAAAGGGCAAAAAGCAGAACCTCTAATAAAGGTCTAACAAAGATCACAGGGCAAAGGGCAAAAGCAGAAACACTGATAAGGGTCTATGTTCAATGGTGCACATATTGTCTTGATAACATCTTAAACAACAGAAAACAGGGTTTGAGAGTAGATAACCGGTCTGACCACAAATTTACCTGGGTGGAGGTTTTCCCCACCCTAGTAAGTCTGAGGGGACTGCAGGAGACCAGGGTGTATCTCAGTCCTTATATCAACTGCATAAGACAGATATTCCCAGAGCGGCCATTTATAAACCTCCCCCTGGGAATGCATTCCTTTCCCAGGGTATTAATATTAATATTCCTTGCTAGGAAAATAATTTAGCAATATCTTCCCTACTTGCACATCCTTTTATAAGCTCTCTGCAAGAAGAAAAATATGGCTCTTTTTGCCCGACCCTGCAGGCAGCCAGACCTCATGGTTGTCTTCCCTTGTTCCCTAAAAACTCGCTGTTATTCTGTTCTTTTTCAAGGTGCACTGATTTCATGTTGTTCAAACACACATGTTTTACAATCAGTTTGTACAGTTAACACAATTATCACATCAGTCCTGAAGTGACATACATCCTCAGCTTACGAAGATAACAGGATTAAGAGATTAAAGTAAGACAGGCATAAGAAATTATAAAAGTATTATTTGGGAACTGATAAATGTCCATATTAAAATGAAATCTTCACAATTTATGATCCTCTGCCACGGCTCCAGCTGGTTCCTCTGTTAGGGGTCCCTGATTTCCTGAAACACATCTTTAAAATCATGTTAGGTAAGATGAATGTAATATGTAAATCATCATTTCAAAGTCATATTAAATTATCTAACATTAAAATTAAATCTCTGACAGAATCAACAAAATTAATTTAGCTAAGTGTAATTATATCTCTGTATGTTAAATTATTTAACCTGAGAAAAAGTCCCTAGCCTAGGTCAGGCCCTCTGTTACAAGTTCTCAAGCATCTTCTTCTATTTTAACAATTGGTTAATTATATTTTAATGACTTTAATGATTACCTCCTGATATGGTTTTCTTCTGTGTCCCCACCCAAATCTCATCTCGAATTGTAATCCCTGCATGTTGAGGGGAGGAAACTGGTGGGAAGTGATTGGATCATGGCGGCTGCTTCCCGAATGCTATTCTTGTGTTATTGAGTGAGTTCTTATGAGAACTGATAGTTTTAAAGTGTGGCACTTCCTTGCTCTTGCTCTCTCTCCCACTGCCTTGTGAAGATGGTGCTTGCTTCTCCTTCACCTTCCTCCATGACTGTGAGTTTCCTGAGTTTCCCAGCTATGCAGAACTGTGATTCAATTAAACCTCTTTTCTTTACAAATTACCCAGTCTCCAATAATATCTTTATAGCAGTGTGAGAACAGACTAATACAGCTCCTCAATTCCCCACCACAAGCCCACGAGCTCCACTAGGTAAAAACTGTATCTGTCTTATTCACCACATGATTTTCACTGGGATGACTAGCACAGTATGTAGTCCCACAGAAATACTTACTGGGATGACTATCTGACCAAAGGAAGGAGAAAGGTAATGAGGGAAGAGAAGAAGATACAAATGGAGCAAGGGAAGCAAAGACTGCAGAATAGGGAAGAAAGGCTGGAGGGCATGGCAGGCAGGAAGGCAAGGAAGCAAGAGGGAGAAAAGATGATAGGAAGGAAGGGAAGAAAGGGTAGGAAGGAAGAAAGGGGAGGAAGGAAGAAAGGGGAGGAAGAAAGAAAGGGGAGGAAGGAAGAAAGGGGAGGGAGGGAGGGAGGGAGGGAGGAAGGAAGGAAGGAAGGAAGGAAGGAAGGAAGGGAGGAAGGGAGGAAGGAAGGAAGGAAGGCAGGTTATTATTATGAATTTAAAGAATAATCAGTTTCTCTACAATAATAAAATTATACCTACCTTTTAATAAATACCTACTAACAGAGATTTATCTCTTCAAGATATCCATTATATACATTTTACATATTTACATAGTGTGTAATTAAAAACATTTTCAAGAAATTCTAGTATACAAATAGTTCTTGGGGACTATTATTCAAAAATTGTGACAATTTTTTTTCTGTAAAATGAGGATGTTAATATACTTATCTCATTAGATTTTGTGAGAATTAAAGGAATACAGAAAAGAACTTAGAATAATGCCTGGAACACAGTAAATGCTCAATAAATGTTATTGTTACTGTTTTGACTGTGCTACTACTACTAATTATTAATAAAGTGAAATTAAAAATTTTTGTCTAGCATTGTATGCCTATGTTAAAAAGTCTGCTGTACCCCATAAGTGTGTGTGTGTGTGTGTGTATATATATAATACTATGTACTCATAAACATTAAAAATGAAAAAGAAAGAACCCACAAATATTTGTCTGAACACTCACTGAAAGTGGAAGCACCTGAGTTTGAATATAGGTAAGTGTGCCCCAAAGCCCACATTCATTTTATTACAATAAAATGTGACTGCTCTGATGTTGTAATGCTTCAGATTCTGACTGGCCATGTTCATAATATTATTTCTATAATTGACATGTATATTTAAGACATTGAAATATCAAATCTGGACTATTTGGAGACTATTTCTGCTCCTAGTCATTCTGTGGTGTGACCATTCTCTAAAAGCCAAGGAAACTGAATGACATACAGTCAATATATGACTACAAAAAGAGAATGACAAGTTCCATTACTAACTTCTTCATATGGAAAAATTTCTTTCGTTTTCACCTGCATAAATATTTCACAAGCAGCAAAGGAGTTAGAAAGGGGATTCTTCTTTGCTGAAGCACTCTGTGTTCAAATTTCTAAAACATAAAGATTCGAAGGTCTTTCTCTTTTGTACAACTATTTCAAAAGTTCACAATTTAAACCCATGTACCTATTTTCTCCAGTGACTATTGATTAGAGCTAATATTTGAAATTTTGCATTTTAGCTTCTTCTACATAAGTTATTAGATTACATTGTGATATCCTGGTTTGGTTTTGCATTATTCCAAGCCAGTCTGCCCTGACTTAATACTGGTTACTTTTCTAACAGCAGTGAATCGACACACCCTGCCCAGAAGGTCACAGGCTTCTATAGGACCCAGATGATACAATTGCTAGCATTTCTACATGTAGTCATAGAGTCTGCTTAAATAAAAATGAAAAATAGATTCTCTCTAGCACCAAAACTAAAATATTCAGTTATTTTCCATAACATTGGTTTTTATTCCACTTTTTTCTTCTGAGATAGAGTTAGAATAAAATATCCTGTAATAAGCAGCATTTATACCCTATAAACCATATGCAGGCCTGTCCTTCTTTGGGGTTCATCAAATATGATGTATAATCTAAGTTTTGTTCACAGGATATTTTCTGATTTTAAAAAGTAGTATAAACTTAATTAGTACACTTTATATTTGCCTAAATGCATTATATTGAAATATTACATTTTATACTCTACTTATTTGATGTGTTATGGGGTTAAAAATTATAGTACAAAATTTAGCTATTTTCTTTAAAGGGGATAACATTTTAAGAATTTCTACAATAAATCAAGATTAACTGAACTATGAATTGAGATAAGTTCATTTAAAGTAGAATAGTAGCAAAATCTACAATATAGAAAATAAAATCTGCCTAGAAAATAAAGATGATCAATATTTACCTTATTGTGGCTTTTCTTACTCTGTGTTGTAGTACTTGCTTACAACTCCATGTTGGGCTGAGCTGCTAGGAGCTCCTTCATCTCAGTGCCTGAAACCCTTCTCACAGTTCTCTGAGACTGCAGTTTCTAAATGCTAATTCTCTCTGAGACAAAGAATGCCAAAATGTGCATGAAGTTAGTTGCTTTGGTGTCAAAACCTTTTCATCACTTGAATTTCACATTTAGTAACTTACCTATTTCCAAAAGCTCTACCTCCAGTCCCTGAGTGCGTTGATGTGGAGCCAGTCTTCAGTGTCTTACTGGAAGTGCCCATTCTGTCACTGTTTCACCTCCAGTGTGATTCTGGGGTCCCTTGCAACCACTTAACACTTAGGACTCAGCACTCACCCTTGAATAGCAACATTGATATTTGAGTAACTTATTTACCGATATTCTTTCAAACACCTCTGGAATTTTGAATTTTATTCTTTTCTTTAGAAGGATCAAGCCTTCTTCCTTTTCTCAAGACATAAACAATTCCAAAATGATACAGCAATCTCTAGGTAATTATAGTTCGTGAACTTCTTGACACTGTGACTTACATTTCTCAGAATTCTATAGTGATTCTTTTATCTGTCTTCTATTTTCTCTTTTTGAGATTTCCCTCTGTTTAGCAAGAACTTAGTTTGGTTGCCAAGGCTATCATATCATATTCATCTTATTAATTCTTCTTCACTTGTTAGTGTTTCCATAAAAATCTTGATGAGCATATGCATGTATCCACAGTCAGGCACCCACAGATGTGAAAGTTGCAATTAATGAGTTTTTTCCTATCTCCTCAGGAAAATGATCAACCATATTTTATTAAATATAACCTTAATATCTATTTGGATATTTTTAGTGGTTATAAGTGTCAGCTGTTTGTCAACCTTCTTTACCCCGTGCCTAACCCTAACACTGGTTCATCCCCGGTTCTGACCTTTTTTGGTCAGATGAGGGTGCTGATTTTCAAGAAACTGAGGGGTCTTTTAGGTTAATGTATACACTTAGCATTACCTCCTTTTTAAGCTATTTGAAAACAACGTGCACATTGTTTCGGATCATTTATTTTGTACAAGACACAGCAGTAGGCCCTGTATATAATGACTTATCTGGATCATGAATATTTCCTCAACACCCTCATGACTAAATTCTATTTTATTAGCTCTGACTTTCCCCTGTCCATCTAGGAAAGATGAACAATGGAAGAAGCAAACAATCTCTAGAACTCTGCTTTGCATTCATTTTTTTCATCAGGACATGCTTTGATGCAGAGAGGTAATCATTCTCTCAGTTACCTGCACTGTCACAAAGGAAAAACTTTCTTCAAACCACTCTTATCAGTGATGCAGAAAGAAATCACTGGATTTCCACCCATGTTAAGACACTATACAGATATTGTGTTGTTACTTTACTCCTGATGGGAACACAATTCTGCCCTTCCACATGAAACAAAAACATATTCAGTAACTTATTCATGGATTTACTAATTTACTCCAGAATTATATTTGAGTGCCCTGAAGTAACAATCTGGAGGCAAGGTCACAATTTGTATTAAACTTTCTTGAAAGTGACAACCAATAATTTTTTTAAATAAATGAATGAATGAACAAATAAAAAGAACTAGAAAATAAATATTTCAGATGAGGGTAAGTGAGTTACAAAGAATTTAAAAGAAGTTATGTGACAGGGCTGTGAATTCTGATTGGGTGGGGAGGGAAACCTTTCTGAGGGAGTGATATTTTACCTGGAATCTGAAGAATGAGAATCAGCTGGACTTTAAGTTTCTGTGGCAGATCAATCCAAGCACAGGGTAGAACTGTTGCAAAGGTCCTGAGGTAAAGTGAACTTAATATCTCCTGGGAAGAAAAAGAAAGCCAGTGTGTCCAAAACCTAATGGTGGAGACAGGAAAACATGCAGTATAAGTTTGGAGCATGTGAGGAGTCGCATGGTTCTCCCCCATAAACAATATGTCCATGTCTAGTGCCTTGAAATCTGAGAATATTACTGTATTTGAAAAAAGGATGTTTGCAGATACAAAGAATGAGTTGCGAGATGAGATCATCCTGGATTATTCAGGTAGATTCTAAATCTAATGACAAGTATCTTTATAAAAGGCAGAAGAGGAGAAGATACAAACAAGAAAAGAGAAAACACAGACAGAAAAGGAGAAGATAATAGGAAAACAGAGGCAGAGATTGAGAAGAGGTAGCCATAAGCCAAGGAGGCCAAGGAAAGTGAAGCAACTAAGATTTCTCCCCTAGAGTCAGAGGCAGTGAGAACCTGCCGTCAGGATAATTTCAGAGTTCTGGCCTCCAGAACTGCTCGATAAAATTTGTTATTTTAAGCCACTTAGTTTGGGGTAATTTGTTTGGCATCTTTACGAAACTAATACTGAGAGATAAGCAGAGGGCTGATCATTTGGAACATTGAAAGCAAGTAAAAGAACTTTGAAATTTTATCTACATTCAAGGAACAACTTGGGGGTTTGTGGGTGGGTAAAGAATGAGGGGCTTAGTGTTAGAGGAACAAGATGGTCTGATTTTCATGGAGGCAAATCAGTATTGGTTATCAGATTATGGTCAGGTACACTACACCTTTGGGCTGAATCCTGGATTCTCTCATAATAGCTATTGGCTATGTGACAGAGGACGATGTCTCTCAAGCGTCTACACCTTAGTTTTCTCATCAAGTTGATGTAGATAATAATAATGCCCTAATTCATAGATTTGCTGGGAGAATTCAATGAATTTAAAATTTAAAGTACTCTGGAACAGTTTGGACTTTAATAAGTACTAAAAAAGCATTAGATATTATTGCATTTTGGAAAGTTTGGAAAATAGATTTTAAGAGGGCAAAAGGTGAGGCAGGGAGAAAAGACGGATGCAGAAGTACCAGTGAAGAGATTGGTTAAAGGTGGTCATCTGAGAAGTAAATGGATTTGAGAAACATTTTGAAAGTAGAATCTACTCTACTTGGATCTGGGAGGTAAGGGGAAGAGAAATGAAGGAAGATGTACAGCTTTTCAGTTTGAGTAACTCAGGACCTTGTAATACTGTGAACTAATAAGGATAAGATACAGGGCTCTTGAAGGCACGGACCTTTTATAGGAAGAGTTCTGTTTTGAATGTATTAAGTTTCAACACCTCTTAAATGTTCAAGCCAAGAAGGCAATTACATAGATGATTGTGGGGTGTAGAAAGTTTTTTTGTTTTGTTTTTTTTGTTTTTTTTGTTTTTTTTTTTGGTTTGGAGCTTAAGGCTAGAGATACAGATTTTTAAATCCTTACTCTATTGATGGTGTTTAAACCGTGGACCTGAGGTGGATTGCCTACACATAATGTTTAAATATTTCAATGAATCTATTATCTAAAAATAAGAAGAAAAAGGGAAAACAATGGTAATAAGCTCAAAATTTATCATTTTCTAATAATTTACAACACTTTACTATTATTAATGCTGTATTATTCTGTTCAGTTTCCTAAAACAGGTCACCCTAAATGGGATGGCTTCAACAATAAACATTTCTTTCTTACCATTTTCAAAGTTGGGAAGTTCAAGATTTAGGTGTCACCTTCTTGCTGTGCCCTCACATCACAGAGAGAGAGCACCCGAGCACTCTGGTCTCTCTTCCTCTGCTTATAAGAACATGAATATTCCATTGGGAGGGCCCTACCCTCATGCCTTCATCTTAACCTAATTACCTCCTAAAGATCCATCTCCAAATATTATCACATTAAGGGGTATGGCTTCTATATATGAATTTGGAGGTACACAAACATCCAGTCCATCACATTTGCCCTTGAGGTCATCTACATCTATCGTTTCTGTATGCTGGGAAGATATAATGGTGTGCTATTGCACATTTCTTCCCAGCTCTGTATTCGAAGATCGTACACTGGTAACTTGAAACAGCCATCATTAGATAATTATAACATGGACATTGGAAAATACTATAAACCGACCTCCTTCCCTTCAAACCCCTGGAAAACTGGTTAGTTAACATTTGCTAGCAAACCATACCACTGAGCCTGGGGAGGTTTTGTTTGTTTGTTTTTAGGATTAAAAAATACTTTTTATTGATATGATGATACTTGTAGAATAAGACTTTTCACATCACTAGAATAATTTTATTTCTTAACAGTGTATTTATGTTAAGATACAACTTAAGTTAATTCTCTGAGGATAAGATCTTTGAGAGGAAAAATCCATGGAAGTGAGGATTATTGCAAAAGTGGTAAAGTAGAGTTTTTAAAAAGGAAAGCAGGAACAGGATCCACAACCCAAGAGAAAAAAATTGGCCTGAGATAGATAAGAGTCATCTGTAGTGACATCAGAAAATACCAATGCCAGTAGTTGTGTGTGCTGATGTGGGAGATGATGGGAACATTGCTTCTTTTCCTGCCAGAAGGAGAAGGAGAAAGCATCCTGCCAAGCCGATGTCTGAGAAAGAAGTCTCATTTCACCCAGTTGCAACTACCACATCTGCCCCTAACTGGAATGAACACAGCCAACAACTTGCCAACCATTTTCTCTTATCTCACTAGGTCTTCAAAGATAAAACTATAAAAATCAAAAACTTTTTTCCCAATTGTGTATGAAAGACCTGTAAGTCTTGGAAATGAAAGTACTAACCGATCTTATTTACCTATACTACTTGCTTATATAAATTAACCTCTGGAATAATATGCAAATCACAAGTCTCACAAATCCTCCAAATATCCATAAGAAATAAACTCATGGCAAATTTTTAGAGTTTATATAAATCTCAGAATGCCTTCATTAGCTTATGAGTGGAATGTTTAGCCCTCAGTGCAGTCAACGCTAAGATTTTCCATTAGTGTGTAGAGCACTTGATAAAATATTCTATTTCTAGTACCTAAATATAAAAATGAGAACCTATTATCTCTAAAACGGAGCAGTCTTCAGCCACTGTGTGGTCATTGAGAGGAGAGGTAATCTCTGAGATAATAAACCTCCAAATTCCGTAGCGTTTAAGCCTCATAACTATAACCAGTTGTCAGTTGAGAATAACTCAATTGAGCTGAATATCTAGGGTAGCCAAAAAGCTTTTATATTTCATTAAATTGTTTCATCTTGCTGATGACTGAGACCTAACTTGTGTGTTGTGGGTTTGTGATTGTGATATAAATTACCACCAGGAAATATTCTGATGTTTCCAGATTGTATGGAAGATAGTCAACGCAGTCTGAACTGATGTTAAACGACTGGACTAGGGTAAGTCTTTTCCCATCACTAGAAACATTTCATTTCTTACTGGTTTAATACTGTGAAGAAAAATATGTCAGTTCTCTGAGGAGAAAGTTTCTTTTAAGTTATCCTGTATCACAGATATTGCGACACAAGTCTCTAAGGAAAGAACTCATAAGTTAAATAAGGTATTTCCAGTAAATAGGTTATGTTATTTGACTGAGTCTCGTCCAGGTTAGCTGAAGAGGGCAAAATTACTATAGAAATTTATATGAAGCAAGAATGGAGGCAGAATCTCACAGAAATTAAGTACAAAACGGGTAATCAGTTTGAGTCTCAGGCAGAAATAGTGTTCTGGGTATTTTTGTTCAGAGTATTTTTTTTGTTAATAACAGGAAATTGTACACTCTCTTATGCACTAGCTTTAACCTGGGTCACATTTTCTTTGTATGTCCGCAGAGTTCTCACTCACTACCTACAGTCTTCTTCATCCTTCCACGTATCTCTTAAATGTTTCATAGCTGGCTTTATTCGTTAGTTACAGAGATTCTTTTATATGCCAGACACTGTGCTTAGTAACAGTAAAAAGATGGATATGGATTTTGCCCTCACAAAGCATACCTTCTAGTAGAGGAGATGGACAGTAAACCAGGAACTCAAAGCAAGTAAGGTAAGTAGAGTGTGAAAAGTACTAGGAGAGAAAAAACCAAAGCCTTGGGATGAAAAGGGATCTTGCTGAGCTAAGGCAGGAGATGAGTCGAGGGCATGGACAGTACGTTGGATATAGTAATTCAAAAAATTTTGGTCATTTAGAGAGTTGGAGAATGACTGATGAAGTCAAGGGTTTGAAGTGAGAAGAGTTTCGGTGAAATAATTGTAGCAAAGGCTTAGTCGTAACCTCCAGTTAACAGATAGCCCATACTGGCAAAATGTATTGACCATTCATTCATTTTCCCTTTCAAGTTTGGCAATGTGCTAGCTGACCCAGCCAGGGAGGCTCTACCCATTCCACTTAATTCCTTTTTAATTCTGCGATTTGGAGCTCCATTACAGACTAGGTTTTATGAAAGTGGAGACTTGTGTCTGTTTTCTTCACTGTGTATCTCTAATACCTAAAGTAGTGCTGAGCACACAGTAGGAACTCAAGAAACATTTACGGAATTAAGTAATTAATGAATGGGCTGTTACAAAATAAGCAGATTAGAGGATGTATGAGGATTTTATCGATTTAGGTTTTTATCAGTAATGCATTAGAATGTAATTCAAGAGCTTTACACCTGAGCAAAATTTGCTAGAACTCTTAGAAATGGAAGTACCACTACCCCATATCTTGCATATCTTGGGTATGCAGTTTAGATTTGCATTTTCTTAAAGAAAAAATAATTGTTGCTTATATTTCTTTAGGTACACATCTATGAAGCCATTGGGAGTCAAAAAAGTACTATTAACTTATAATCCATATTTATACCTCCCAAACACAAAATACAGTGCCTATACTTCACTGATACTTAATAAGTAGCTGTTGAATAATTGAATTAGTATGCGTATACATTTTTATTTTCTCTATTTTAATGTTGTCTTGGAAAAAGTTATAATATGTGTAACTTTTCTACTACAAATATATAGAAACATGAGATTATTTCATATTAAACATACAGAATGTCTTTACCTATGGAATTAGCGATATTACTCAGTTTTAGAATATTTTCCCCTCAAACTATAACTTTTTAATGTAGCCTTCAAAACTTTTTGCAAAGTCATGTGTTCTA